GTTTTACAGAGAGAATTCCATATAACATGTGGCCCAGACTCACTGGCTGCAGGTTCCTCTAAACAAACAACCGTCGGGGTCAGCTTCCTCTTACCAGAGTAAGTGTCCATTGTGAAGTGGGACAAGCGCAGCTTAGCCAGGTGGAGGCGAACTCTCCACATTTAATGGCTCGATGGTGAGGATTTAGGAGTTGAGCAGCTGTTGGATGGCAGGGAAGGTGCTAACAACATCTGGGGTGGTTTGGGGGGTAATTGCCTTTAGTAGCTACCCAGAAAAAAAAGTAACTTCTTACCTCATTTTAAAGCTTACTTCTGGGGAGAAAACAGGCTCGGACATCAGTTATTAACATTTCTGGGGGTGGGATGCCATTGAGCGTGAGGAGAGCACAGTGAACACTGGCTTCAAAACAATGTACTACCCATGGAGCTCTGTCATCGTAGAGATGTGGTCGGCTGCGGGCACATGGGCGGGCAGGTGTCCTCAGCTGTGCGGCGGCAGGCTTGGCTGCCTTTGGTGGCCGTGCTGCTCGACCAACTGCCCCATCTCCTCACTGCTCTTGTCTGTGTGTGGACATGCACTTGTAATTGAGATGACACAGGTCAGAGTCCTTGGTGTGCTGTGATGGGATGACATTTGATATGCAGCCAAGTCAACTTGATGGTTCGGGACTCCAAAATGGTCTAGTTTATGAGAGCTTTACAAACTAAAAAAACAGTTCACTCTCTTTTTTCCATATAACTTAAAAGTTAAAATGCAAGCATTTGTAGAACATCTGCTTCTTTAGAAATAAAAGTGTTGATTTAGTAGCGATTTTAATGATTTTGAAAGCATTTACGAGGGCCAACAGTTTCCCTTTTTCTCTCCCCCTCTACCCCCCACCCTCCCCGTTTTTAAATGAAGCATCACTGATACGTTTGAAGCCTTCACGTTAAACCTTCTGTCTTCACTCTTGATCAGTGGACCCAACTCCCCCTTCTACAAAGCATTAATTGAATCTGGACTTGGCACAGACTTTTCTCCTGATGTTGGGTAAGTTTCATTATCCGATCAGATCAGTGGTGTTTGCATTTGGGGCCAGCTTTGACATTTGACAGTATCTGGACATGTTTTTGGTGCTCACAACCCCGGGGGGTGTGGAAGAGGTTATTGGTATCTGCTGGGAGGAGTGAGGGATGGAGAGTGTTGATATCCCACAGTCATAGGATGGTTCCGCTGCTGCCCCAGCACAGAACTGTGCATGAGAACACTAGTCCAGTACAGCTGTTTTCTATCCCCTGGAGGGCACATTCGGGAAAAGAAAAAAGAAAGATAGCTTGACCAAGATCTCAGAATGGTGTACGGCTGCCTGCTTTGAACGCCAGGTTGAAATATTTTTTCAAATCTTAAGATTTTGTAAAGCTCAGCCGTTTCATTTCTAGATTTAATTTTGCCGTAACTCAAGTTTAATTGCATTGATTTTTAGAAATGTGAAAAGGGCATGAATGTAATTGTGAGCAGTTATATCTGAGGACTGCTTCAGTGGGCTTTTTCTTGGAAGACTTAGGACGTTGGAGTGTCCGTAGTTCTGTTCTCCAGAGTATTGGATCTCTTGAGTTGTCGGAATTCTGCCATGTGACCCACTTGTGTATTGTAGATACAACGGCTACACACGGGAGGCCTACTTCAGCGTGGGCCTGCAGGGGATCGCGGAGCAGGACACCCATGCCGTTCGGGACATAATTGACAGGACAATCGAGGAAGTCATCGAGTGCGTGTGGCTTGCACTCTGCAGTACCAACACCATCCTCACACCGTCCTCACACCGTCCTCACACCGTCCTCACACTGTCCTCACATCGTCCTCACAGTGTCCTCACACTCTCCTCACCCTCTCCTCACACCATCCTCACACTGTCCTCAGTGTCCTCACACGCTCCTCGTACCATCTTCACAGTGTCCTTATACCGTCCTCACAGTGTCCTCACACTCTTCACACCGTCCTCACGCCGTCCTCACGCCGTCCTCAGTGTCGTCACACCATCCTCACACTCCTCACAATCCCTTCACACTCCTCACAGTGTCCTCACACCATCCTCACACTGTCTTCACACTCCTCACAATCCCTTCACACTCCTCAGTGTCCTCACACCATCCTCACACTGTCTTCACACTCCTCACAATCCCTTCACACTCCTCACAGTGTCCTCACACCATCCTCACACTGTCTTCACACTCCTCACAATCCCTTCACACTCCTCAGTGTCCTCACACCATCCTCACACTGTCTTCACACTCCTCACAATCCCTTCACACTCCTCACAGTGTCCTCACACATCCTCACACCGTCTTCACACTCCTCACACTCTCCTCACAGTGTCCTCACACTCCTCACACCGTCCTCACACCATCTTCACACCTTTCTCATATCTTCCTCACACTGTCCTCACACTGTTCTCACACTCTCTTCACACTGTCCTCACAGTGTCCACACAGCATCCTCACACCGTCTCACACTGTCTTCACACTCCTCACACTTCTCACAGTGTCCTCACACCATCCTCACACCGTCCTCACACTCTTCTCACACTGTCCAATGAGGGAGCCTGCCTCCCCTTGTGTTTGGCTTTTCTTTACCTCATAAAATACACATTGGTTCATTTAGAATAGTTTAAAGACTCTCTGCTGCCTTGTTGCACGGGTATTGATTGTCTTTTTAACATCTCTCTTCTGTGTTTCTTTAGAAAAGGATTTGAAGAGGACCGAATTGAGGCTCTCCTTCATAAAATTGAAATACAAATGAAGCATCAGTCTGTCAGCTTTGGACTCACCCTGACGTCTGTATGTAATTTCTCCTCTACCTTCTTCTGTTTGTACTGTTGTGATCAGTGGGTACTTGACAGCGCTGGGAACAGGTGAATATTCATAGCACCGTTCATTTGAACTGTGAAAGTTGTGCTGTTTTGGATATGATACAAATTTAATTTAGTTTTATAATACACTGTCTTTTTACAAGCATAATTGACTTTCTGTTATCTTTTTTTTAAGTCATTTCTTTTAGAGAGCGAGAAAGAGCATATGTGGGAAGGATGGACAGTTAGAGGGAGAGAGAGAATTCTAAGCAGGCTCCACACCCAGTGCGGAATGCGATGTAGGGCTCGATCTCACAACCCTGAGATCATGACCTGAGTCAAAACCGAGAGTCGGACGCTCAACTGACTGAGCCACCCAGGCGCCCCTCCTGAAAATTTTAGAATTTGTCCTTCACTTTATTAGAGAAAAAACAGATTTAAAATTTTCCTATCCAAAAAATGACTTAATTTTTCTTACAATCATTGTGGTATTTTTAAATACAGAACCTGAGAACTTAATAAAATGTTTGATGTAGCGTTTGTAGTGTAATGTGCATCTGGATGTTACGTTCTTGGTTGCAGCACATTGCCTCCTGCTGGAATCATGACGGGGACCCTGTGGAGCTCCTGAAGCTGGGGAGTCAGGTGGCTCGATTCAGACAGTGCCTCAAGGAAAATCCACAGTTTTTGCAAGAAAAAGTAAAACAGTATTTTAAAGTAAGGAAATTGGAGAATTTATGTTATGAATAAGTAACAATTTCTTAATTATTAATTAGTGCTCATATTAACAAATTTAGTCCATTCTGATGCAATTTGGCTTTTTATATGAATACGTGAGTTTGTATTTTATATATGAGGATATTATGCACGTGTATTAATTAACAAAAACATCTGTAGGCATTTTTGTTCTGTTTTGTTGAAAGATTATACTATCCACTCCTTAATTTTTTGGAAGGTTTTGATAAGAATTGTTCACCTGTCATTAAAAGATTAGTGGAAAAATACATTCCTGGGATTTCTTCATTGGGAGTGTTTTGCTTTTTTTTTTCTCTTTTTGTCTTAATTACTGATTCAGTGTGTTCATGAGTTCCTGATCTCTTCAGAATTTTCTGTTTCTTCACCCTTCAGTCTTGGAAGGTGCTGTGGTTTGAGGAGTTTGTTCATTTAGGTTGTGCAGGTTGCTGGATGGTTCTTCTAAGTATTCCCTTGTGTGGATTTCTGTACTGTCCGCGCTATTGTGCCTTTTTCCACGTCTGAGTTTAGTCGAGTCTCCCTGTTTTCTTAGTGTATCTGAAGGTTTGGCGCTTTTGTTGATCTGCTTGAAAAAGTCTAATCTGTGATCTAAATTTTATGGTTTTCTTTGTTCTGCTAGCTTTGGCTTGATCTCACTTTTCTCTTTAGTGAGGGTGTGAAGATAGGTTACTCATGGGTCTTTGTTTTTAATGTCTGAAACTGTACGTGTCACTCTTCACACTGGTTTTGTGGGGTCCTGCAGTTTTCAGTGTGTTCTGTTTATAGCTTCATTGGTCTCACGGTATTTTCTAAGATCCCCTATTACTTACTATTTAACCTACTGGTTGTTTAAGAATGTGTTGTGTCACTTGCATGTATTTGTTGGTTTTCCAGCTTTCCTTCTAAGGGCATTCCTTGGAGACAGCACATGTGTGGTTCCTGAGCACAGCCTTCTAAAGCGAATATTGCAATAAAGCGAGTCAAATGAATGTTTTGGTTTCCCTTTGCAGAGGAAAGTTGTGTTTACACTACACTGTAGTCTGTTAAGCGTGCAATAGCATTATGTCTAAAAAAAGTAACATGCACATCTTAGTTAAAAAATACTGCTAAAAAATGCTAATCATCTGAGCTTTCAGTGAGTCATAATCTTTGCTGGTGGGGGGTCTTGCCTCGATGTTGATGGCTGCTGACTGATGAAGGGTGGTGGCTGCTGAACCTGGGGGTGGCTGTGGCAATTCCATAAAATAAAACACCGATGAAGTTTGCCCCAGCGACTGACTCTTCCTTTCATGAACAATTTCTCTGTAGCAGGTCGTGCTGTTTGATAGCATTTTACCCACAGTAGAACTTCTTTCAAAATTGGAGTCAGTCCTCTCAAACCCTGCCACTGCTTTATCAACTGAGTTCATGTAATATTTTAAAGAATTTTTATTTATTTTAGAGAGAGAGAGAGAGAGCAGGAGGGAGAGGCAGGAGGAGAGTGAGAGAGAATCCCAAGCAGACTCACTGCTGAGCATGGAGCCCAACATGGGGTTCGATCCCACGACCCTGAGACCACAGCCCAATTACTGAATTGTAATTAAGGTTGTTCCATTTTTTTTTTTTTAAAGATTTTATTTATTTAATAGAGCACAAGCGGGGGGAAGGGCAGGAGAGGGAGAAGCAGACTCCTTGCTGAGTGGGAGCCTGACATGGGGCTTGATCCCGGGACCCCGAGATCATGACCTGAGTTCAGGGCAGACGCTTCACTGACTGAGCCACCCAGGCGCCCCTATTTTAATTTTTGAGGAACCTCCATACTGTTTTCCAGAGTGGCTGCACCAGTTTGCATTCCCACCAACAGCATAAGACAGTTTCCCTTTCTCCACATCCTTGCCAACACTTGTTACTTGTGTTGTAAATTTTAGCCATTCTGACAGGTGTGAGGTGGTATCTCGTGGTTTTGATTTGTTTTTCCCTGATGATGGGTGATGTTGAGCATCTTTTCATGTGTCTGTTGGCCATGTGTATGTCTTTGGAGAAATGTCTGTTCATGGTTATTATGCCAGTACCATACTGTTTTAATTATTACACCTTTGTAATATAGCTTGAAGTGTGGAGTTGTGATGCCTCCTGTTTTGTTTTTCAAGATTGCTTTGGCTATTCAGAGTCTTTTCTGGCTCCATACAAATTTTTGTATTGTTCGTTCTACTTCTCTGAAAAATGCTTTTGGTATTTTGACAGGGATTGTATTAAATA